ACAACAGATCGTGAGTCTCCAGTTATTACTGCTCTGATTCATTCAGTCTGTTTCTGGTTTTATTACAAAGCGCTGCTGCTGGATTTCAGTCTCATGCTGTACATTAACATGTTGTTGTGTTTTTCAGAATGCCTGATCCTTTCTAATAGACTGAGACGGGAATTAGCATCTCCACACTTTGACTTTCCTTATGAAGCGAGACCTCAACATGGAGCAAAGTACTTCCGCTCTCTCTATGAAGTGGGAGAAGAAGTGGGATCGGGAGACTATGTAGTCGGTGTCTATGAAGGAATTAGAAGATCGGATGGCCAGAGGGTATGTTGCTCTTTCTGCATAATCAAACTTTTTGCCTCTTGTTTCTTTCTGTGAACTTTGAGTCCTGACATAAACATCAGTGTTTACAGTAGGGATGTTCATTTTAACCGTTTAACCGACGGTAAGAATTTTGACAGATTAATACACTCAGTTAAACTGTTTAAAAAGTAATTTAATCATTTGTTTATTCAGTCATTTATCAAAATATTTAAAACGGTTTGCTGCATGGTTAAAATACGCTACGCGTATAAAAAATGTGTGTAGAATAAGTCGCATTTTATTATTTCAGAAATAGGGCTAATGCTGACGTGAAATGTTTACAAGCATTATAATAAACACTGTAAACATAGCTAGGCTATTTTAGTTCCCCTCACTCCACAACAAATCCTTTTTTCTTTCATTTTCTTAATTTATAATTTAAGTCAAAATATGTTTCTCGTATAGGCCTATTTATTCGTTATATATATATAGCCTAGCTTTATTATGTTTTTCTCCGCTCGCAGAAGCGCTGCAGGTGCGTGATGTGATATGATAGGACCATGTGAATCCTCATGTTCTGTTGTTTGCTGCTTTTTGCGCATGTAAAATTAATCCCCGGGAAACAAATGTTAGTATTTGTAAGGGTCACAGACACGTATCCTTTCTAATTTAATTCACTTCTAATTTAAAATGATCTTGTCGGTTAACGGTTAACAATCGGTTAACGAGCATCGGTTGTCGGTTAGGAAAAATAACCGAAATGAACATCCCTAGTTTACAGTATCGATCAACACGTTTAAAAAAGACTGTAGATGATCATGTACACAAACACAGAGAGATCAGTTTACTTACGTTTGCAAAAATGTTCTTCATTTTTTAGGTGCTCATCAAATTTGTGAAGATGCACTGGCCTGGGAAAACATCGGAGTTGGTAAGTTGACAAGACTTTATTCTTCATGAAATTCTCTATTAAGAGTTGTCTTAAGTTCTGTATGTAGACAGTATGAGGTATAACTGAATTAGACAATCAAAGCCCAGAATCATCATTTATAAAGTACATGTAAAGTTCATCGCCATCATCTTTAATTTCCTTCACTCTTTAGTTTAGGAGATTTGAAATTGGTTAGGAGTCAGTTAACATTTGGGCAATCTCTTTTCTTTAGGATGAGTTTCTCAAACCTATGTGTGAAGAGGCAACTACGATGTTGATGCTGCAAAGGCCTCCGTTCTGCGACCATGTCATACAGTTATATGACTGGTTTATCATGGAGGAACAGAATGTCTTGATAATGGAAAATCCGCATCCCTGTGTGACCTTGTTTAAGTTCATCAAAAAGAACAGAGGTCACCTGAGTGAAGAAAAGGCAAGACTCATCATGTGGCAGCTCGCCGTTGCTCTGCGTCACTGCTGGGATCGTGGTATTTTTCATGAAACAGATCTGAGTAATATTCTCATCAACACGGACACCCAGCAGTTAAAGATAATGGACTTTAGATACGCAGGGCACATCATAAAAAACCGTAAGTTGGCTTTCTGAACACAGATCACCAACTCATTTGTTACAGTTCACTGATGATGCTTTACTAAACTCTGGAAATGTGTTGTTCACAGGAAGTGAATAAGCTTATTTAGAGGCAAGGCTCAGAGTGCCTGCTAAATTGCAAGCAGCTGAAAACTTATACTTTGTGCTGGATGCGCTCATCGAAACAATAAGACATCCGTGTTGGAAAAAAGCACACCTGTCCAGAGGTGAGACCAGTGACAAGAACACAATGGAAATAACATTGCTTGAAAAACATATAAAACTCAGTCAGACACAAGTGACGGTAAAAGATTAGTGCTGAAATGAGCAAAGTGTAAAACATTGACAAATTACACTGAATGTTTAGCAGTGATTAAATGTTCATGGGCATCCAGAGAATGTAACAGCAGCAGAAGCATTGTATTTCATGATCACATTACCTTACGTGAACTACAGACCTCAGAATGTGTTTATGAGTGTCAGTAACGACAAACATGACTAATCAGCTCTCTTCTGGAAACTTTCACAGAATGCACAGATCTTCTTCGGAAACTTGGGCATGGAGGGCCATCAGCGATTGACACCTTAGAGAACATCTTAGATCATGCCTGGTTTAGAGACTTCTCCACAGTGAATGAAGGAGAAGGAAACTGATCAATGTTCTTTTGATCGATTCTGGCCTTTGAAATCAGAAAGAGCTCTTTTCAATTCAAAACCGAAGTTTATTTTCATGCTCGCATTGTTTGACTGGTAGACAGACGTTCTCTTCCTCTCTTCCAGCCCTGCAGCTGAGCCTCAGGTGAGATGTTAGTACCCCAGCACTTCTCCGCTCTCTTCATCCAGAGCCAGAAGCTGCTCTGTTCAGCCTCTTCAGCAGCTCTGGGCTTAGAACGGCTCCTTTATTCCAGTGATCCACAAATTAATGTGAAGAGATTCACAAACACAGCTCTGCCAGGCATTCATTTGCCAATCGTTTCTTGTGCATTTGTGCATCGCAGCGTGCATCTGTGTATTTTGAAACATTTCTAGCATCAAGATGTACACACAAATCCACAGACAGGTGGACTCTACTGCGGGCCAATCATAGCACGTTCTCACTACAACCAATCAGGTGTTGCTTTACAGGCGGGCGGTCTCCCTGAAATAACTTTGCTCATTACACTAGCTCAGGTAGGAATTATAAGATCCATAAGAAGTGGTACAGTAAAAGATACTTAACATTTAGATTTCGTTAGCCACAGTATTGTTTTAATCGCCTTTGAAGATATTAGAGAAATAGCGCTTTGCGTCTCTTTATGGGAACACTGGATCGAAAGCGTCACATAATTCAAGACGGAACAGACTAATAAATAACTCGATTCATTTAATAGATGAAATTACTGTCCCACAACAGCATTTCTCAGTCCCAGCAACTCTGTGGATCTAACGCTCTATATTAAGCATTATAAGTAGGGTGTAACGCCACTAATTACAAATATTTCAAACATTAATGAAATGTAATACAGAATGATTCCCACTTTGTAGAGACGATATACAGTACTTGGTATATTAAGATGATACAGGTTTTCGTTTGCATTATCCACAAGCGATGAGGCTTGTACTGTAATGTCACTGATAGTCGCTTGGGCTCGTATTTGGTATTATACATGATGTTTTGTCCTAGATGGGGTCCTTCAGAAGTAGAACGGGTGATCTGTTCAGTCCAGTGTAGACAGTATCACTGATTATAATGCGTTGCGCCGCTCGTGTCAGCTGTAGAGAGGCTGTTATCGCTCAGGATCTGTGAGACCAGTGTATCAGGATAAACTCAAGACTGTATACAAATTATGATCATTCAATGGAAATATAAAGAAGTAAGGGTGTGCGATATGGGAAAAAAATTGGTATTCTTCATATTCCGTGTGGTGATCAGTTCACAGCAGTGATAGAAATTAATCTTTCCAATAAGTTTAAATTGATTTTTACCTTTATGGGCATTTGTACCTTTATAAAGCCATTTTTTTCCTAAAAGTGTGCATCATCTTTTTAATCAGTCAGTTAGAATAATAAGACATGCTGGCTGTTACCAACCAAATTAAATCAGTATCAACCAAATTAATCTTTGCAATGCAGACGAAACACAGAAGCTGCATCTGAAGTTGCATGTAGATGTTTTTACACACTTTAATGCAGGACCCAAATGTTTTAACCTGTAGTTACAAATGCATAAATGATGTTTTGATATATTAAACACAAAATGTTGACTGCTGATATTTAAAATGTGGATTTGTGTGCACGTCTTGACGCTAGAAATGTGTGCCGTGATTCACAAATGCACAGAAAGCCATCCATTATTGAATGCCAGGCAGAGTTGTGTTTGTGACATTTTTTAATTCTCTTTATTTGTGGGTCTTAATGTATTTATCTGGAGCAAAGGAGCAATTATAAGCCCATATTCATGTCCTGATGAACTTTGATGAGCGGTGAACTGGAGAAGGAGAACGGTCCAGACGGCACTGGAGCACATCTCTATATCAGGACGCAGACTTGAGCTCCACATGTTCTTATCAGAGAGCCAAGACGTCTGCTGGACTGCTCAGCCAGCAGATCAATGTAATCTAAAGAACCACCAGACACGATGCAGAGAAGCACATTAGAAGCATAGAAGACAAAAAGGACAGTATTATGCAAATCTTGTTTCAGAGGCAGTAGGTTAAATAATTATGATAAATGCAGATGATGACAGAGAAGTCTTTCTGGAACTAATGTCCTGATGTGATTTGTCAGAAACTGAGAAAAGCCTGAGAGAAACTCAAACACAAAAAATTAAATTCACTTTTCTCAAGTTCTCAGTTAAAAAAACAACTTTTCAAGATTTCAAGCATCAACAAAATGGCCTGTTTGTGAAAGGTGCTTCTCTCATAGCTGTGCTCGTGTTCTGCTTCTCTGTTGTCACTACAAATCATCTAATACAGCATGTGAACATTTTTAATAAAATATTTATTTTTCATTCATTTGTTTTTTATTAAATTATATATATATATATATATTTGTCAAGGAACGCCATTAATTGCCTGAGTGTGCAATCATGATAAAGGTAAACTGAGAAATTTTGTGGCCCTTCAAACTTAAACTTTTTTTTTGACTGAAAGTATCTTTTTAGTTGTGACAACTCTTGATCCAAGGAAATCTGAATGTATCAGCTACTGTAAGAACATTTGTATTTTGTAAATATTAGAGCAAAACAGGCTTTTGAGTCAATCTAGAAGGGATCGATCACTACATCATTCCAGCAGATCTCATAAAGTCCACAATCACAGCACTACAATAAATCACTCACAAAGAGAATTAAAAGCTTAGTTCACCCAAAAATAAAGATGACTGTCAAGTTACTCACCCTCATGTCATTCCAAACCCATAAGACTCATCTTTAAAACACAAATTAAGATATTTTAATAATTTCTGTAAAGTTTTGAGGGGAATAAAGTCGAAATATTACGAGAATAAAGTCGAAATGTCACGAGAATAAAGTCGAAATACTGAGAATAAAGTCGAAATACTATGAGAATAAAGTAGAAATACTATGAGAAAAAGTTAATGATTTCTGTAATTACTGCTTTGTCACTTCAGAAAGTTCATAAAGAGATGGTCAAAAGTCTTATGGATTTGGAGCGACATGACGGTGAGTAAATGAACTAACCCTTTAAGTGCTTTAATAAACTATCAGGTCCAGTGTGCATTTTAACTCTAACAGTAACATTTTCATGTTTTATAATTCCCTTAACCCTTGTAAGTTGTTTGTTTGGAATGTACTCTCAGAGACCACAGACAATAAAAAGTGATTTGAAAAAAAAAAATAATAATAATCATAATTTTTTACTCTATATTTGTGCAGTTTTGGGGGGAATTTATTGCATATTTTAAATTTATAAAAATACTTTTAACAGAGTGTTTTTTGCCATTGGATTCATAATTACATATTACATGTGAACATATGAATTACAATTACATATGAAATCACAATTATAACAATGAAAATCACTTTTTGTCCAAGTGTAACTTTTTTTTGTACTAAAGCAAGTTTTATACTGAAGTGTGTGCTAAATTGTATTGTCTCACCCTTTCATCTCTCTCTCTCTCTCTCTCTCTGTGTGAGCCTGATTATTTTGCATTGTGGATGTTAAAGGGCATATTCCAGGTTAGAGACCCCAGTGAGTCAATGTATAGAATGCATGCTGGGATACATGGGAGAGTCTTGTACTATGCTGATACCCAGCATGCATTGCAGCATGAAGCATTTTGTTGACTGTCACCATTGTTAAGATTCATATGCTGATTCTTGATGGCTGCAGATGAAAACTGCACAAAATGATTTGTAAATTATTTAAATGATCTGATTTTTACTATACTACTAGATCTGAAGCTATAAACGATGCTAAAGCAATACAACATCCATTTAATCAGAAATTGGACTTCAAAGGAGGTCGGTGGATCATCTGCCCACAACTTTTTTTTTCTCTCTCTCTTGGCTTTGCTGACTAAGCTAAACTTGTTTTTTATGAACACACAGTTAAAACAACCAGCATAACATTAACACCAAAAAAATCAAGGGTCAGGACCCCAACAGAAGGAAACACTGATCTCCTTGATGGTGATTTCAAATGAAACAATATGACATCTAAACCTCTGTTAATTCTCAATAAGAGCTTCTCTAGACGTCTGACAGAAATAAAGTCAATCTGGTTAGTAATGAGAAGCTGGTCAAGATGTGTGTGGATTTGTTTAATCAGAACTTGAGAGATTTAATGTCTTTTATTTCAGTTGATTTCATCTTCATCTGTGGCTGAAGTCAGTTGTAGTTCTTGTGTTTCTCTTTCCTTCAGTGATTCTGCTTGTTAACAGCAGCTGCTCATCATTAATGCTCAATCAGCACATAATTATCTCCTTAACTCCAGCACTGCTTCAATGCTACTTTAACACTCTGTAGTGTGGAAACACATGAACACTGAGCAATGTGGGGACTTTGCTGTGAACTGTTACATAAAACTTACCAGTTTCATTCGCGTATGACTGACGCATATGAATCACATTACGTTTATTGATTTGTTTATGTTAAAACTATGTAATCTAAATGGATGGAAAATTGTTATGCAATTGAATTAGTTGAGAATATCAGATTAGCTAACAGATAGTCCTCTGCCATTTATTCACTAAAACGAGTGAACTTGAAAACACGGTGCTCCGAGAGTTTCCGAATGCAATTTTTTAGGGGAGAATTATGAAATCTTGATCAAGTTAGAATTGTGGTCAAATCCACGTGTGTTTTTGTCTGTAGAAATAGACTATGTGCTGATATCCGCCGAGATATCAATGACAGTGAATTAATTGCAGTAAATCTGTACATTAATTTACCTCACTCTAGGTCAGCACTATAAAGATAAATCTGGAGTGCTTTTTGGTTGTTCAGTGTGGAATGCGCCGCCATTTCCACACAAAAGCGTAAACTGTATATAGCCATAAGACCGTGTGTAGCTAACCTGCAATACTGCAAAGTACGTTGCCATAGTAACAGCCGTAACCCGGAAGTTACGAGAAAC